GATTTTGCGTTACCCCTTTTATGAAAATCCCGCTTGATGCCTTTTTCTACAAACAGATCAAAAAATTTTTTTTATTCTATTCAAAATGGTTTTACTCATTTTTCCATGCTAGCTTACATATATATATATATATATTATAGTATGTTAAAAGCTTTAAAATGAGAAAATTCGAAGTCAATGTTCCGTATTACAACATAGTCCGATGTCCTGCACGCGAAGTCGAGCACTTTAAACGAGGACTCATACCGCACACCCTCTGTCCCTACCCAGACTGATAGGAGTGGCCACCCATCCGCACACTGACCGCAACCAGTGATGCTTTGACCTCGGTGATCTGCTGGGAAGAGTGTCTCAGCGATCCTGCGAGGTGGTTGTACAGTGAGAGTATATCCATCGCTCACTCCGCTGCTGGAGATCAGGAGATTGTGAGTTCAATCCTAGCTAACTTAACGTGAAAGTCGGGAGAGAGTGGTGCCAGCTTAGGTATCGCTCATGTTGCTCGACTGCGGTTAAAATGACGTGGTAATCCTGCTATGGTTGGTATAGTAGTACTTAATTTACCCTAAGGCTGCACAATCAGTAACGGTCTGTGAGACATCCCTGTCTAAGATAAGACACGCCTTCACAATCAGAAAAGGGTGTGGCTCAATCGCTTTGATGACCCATGCCTCAAAGTCATGAACTTTAATGTTAATTAAAAGATCGATAACCTGGGAGTTATGATTTTGCCTTTTTTATAGAGGAGTGTATGGGTAAGAGTAAAGTACGCGTGAAAATCACATTTTTAAAACTTCTTTTGAATGTAATTTTAAGAAAAATTTAAAAAAATTCCTCTTGAAGCACATCAAATTTGAATTAAAAGTAAGTTGAGGGTAAGTACCATTGCAGGAAATTTCTAAAGAATGTTCTACTCAAAAATGAAAATCGGATTACACATTTTGCTTACAAAAGAGAGTTCCACAGTGCAAGTCAAAGTTAAAAACGCGACTTCCTTTCGTAAAAACAGATTTGTGATTTGCTTATTTTTGCTCAAAAACTAGATTACGTAATATTTAAACTGAGAAATCTTGTTCCCTCCACCTGCTCAGTCTCTATAGAGAACCGAGGTTGCACAGACTGTATAACCAAATCTACCATTTAGGAGTTGACTATTTCCATTTAGTGCCTCCTTTAAAAATACTGTATTTCAAGGTAAAAAATCTGAGTTCCAAAAATCTGTTTTATTTCATTTTACAACCGTCGTTGAACAGCCAACACAATTTTCGGGACTACCCATGTTCATTTTGAACCCAATACAGAAGAGAACTCCAGAATCAAGTGTTGGGTGAAATTTTCCTTCGTGGAGGACTTTTTGATGGAACTAACCCGCATTTGCGTTACATGGAGAGGAAGACCACGAGAACATCCCACGGTCAACCCGATGGCAAGGGGACTCTAACTCATGATCCGTCTACCACTGAGGATATTTCACGTCAGCACTGTGGCCGGTGCAATCCGGGTGCGTAATTCGTATCGACCAGCCATCGCCGTTTCAAAAATTTGAGACTAACGTAAAATATTTTTCGAAATTATATAAGAACACTGAATTTTATATTCATATAAGGGGAAAATCCATATTTAAAAAAATTCCTATATTCTATTTTTCATGTAGGGGAAAGTGGGGTGAGACCGGATAGTTAAGATTCTGTTGGAATTATTAAACTGTTCGATCGAGAAACTGTCAGATTTTAACAGACATGTAAATGCAGGAAGAAAATGAATTCATTGTTTAGTTGTGCTTAATTCCTGAAAAGTCATAGCTGTACTACTTTTTTAATAAATGATTTATTTTCCATCCTAGAAAGTAAAATCATCCAGTCACATGCTAACACTATGGCAAATTTCGAAATTCTAGAATTGCAGTGAAGAAGTAGCATTTTTATTTTATACGTACATCGTTAAGAATGCTATACGTGTAATTTACATGTGACGTTGTCAAGGCCGTACACAAGAGAGATGAGAGCTGTATAAAATTCTTTACAAAAAATCTAGTGTTTCTCAAAGGAAAAATGGCAGATAATTTCTTATAAATAAATTTTAGTATAAAAGGTCTTAAATTTTACAAAATATGAAAATAAGGATGAGTTCGCAACACTCCTAATTTTTAGAATTTGAATTTTTGATTCATTTTTATTTAAATTATGTTAATAATACATCGCTCTCTGTATATATATATATATATTTATATATAATGTGTTCTTATTTTTCAGGCTGTTTTGCCACTCTTCGGTCAATAGTAATTGTTGAACTTTTGGGTTTAGAAAAGTTGACAAACGCATTTGGTCTCCTCTTACTTTTTCAAGGCATCGCTTCTATAGTAGGAGCTCCAATCGCAGGTCTGTTTTATTTAAGTTTTTAAACGAAAAATATTCTAAACTTATCTTTAAAAGAAAATGATGTGTATAAAGTATCATTATTGCTGCTTCACGCACACGCGACACTGGAAAGAGACACTGTTGAGACACGCCTGGCGAATCGATATTCGAGAATTGATAATCGATATTCGAAAGATCGTGAAAGAAAGATCGTGCGTACTGAATGCGTCTCACGAAAGTGTGCGCAACGCATGCAGGGAGAACAAATCTTGCAGAAATTATTCAAAACTCTTAATTTTATTCTGTTCTTGTTTAATTTTTTCTCTCGTGAACCGTTTAAATCTCGTGAATTTTGATCCTACACTATTTTAAAGATTTTAAATTTTGCTGTTGGTGATTGAAATGGGCTGCAGGTGGCGTAGAGCAGAACTCTCTCTCTACCTATTGCAACACTTTGTATGCTTTCCCCAGTAGCGTGTGGAGAGTCATAGAGGAAGGAAGTACGTTAGTTTCTCTCTTGATTTTCATATAGATTAAAATCTTTTAAGTTGGAAAACTATATGGAACTGAATACTACATCAAACATAGTTCTAAAGAAAAGCATCACGGAAATTTTAAAAAATACTTTTATTAAATAAAAAGGAAAAATATTAATAGAAAAGGGAAAAGTACATTCCTATACAACTGAAAAGAGGAGGAGAGGGAAGGGAGAAGGCCAAAGGCATGAAACCGGTCTCTCCCCAGATGGAGTATTCGAGCGTTGCGATCGCGAATTGAGATCCTATTTCAAAAAGTAGAAAGCAGAGAGGATTATGCTCCGGAAAAAAATCCGGATTTCCAGAGTTTTCGCTAACCGCGATCCGGAAGTTTCCGGAAATCCAAGGTCTAGAAATATCAAGAAATCATTGATCTCATTTATGTATAAAAAATTTTCTATGTTTTATTTAAAAATATTAGAACTAGAATTTATACTTTTATTTTTAAATATTTGTAATCTCTCATTTGTAAATATTTTTTCTTTTAGAATAATAACTGTGATTAGACTTAAAAGTAAACTTATACATAATTATTCATTTAAATTGTGCTGCATATAATTTATTTAGAATTTCATGTTTTTAAAGTATCAATGATTTAAATTTATGAAGACTTTAATTTTTTCGACATGCGTCATTAATAATTTTACTCGAGAATTTTTCAGGATTTTTCAGTTGGGCTCACAATTACCCCTGAGAAAAGAATCGGAGTCTTTAATTTTTATTTTTCATAAACTATTCAGCAACTTTCATGACTACTCTGTTGTAAGAGCTCTTTAAAAATAATTTAACAACAGTAAAGATGATTAGTTTGCAACTCGGTGTAAATTGTCAATGCCATCTAGTGTCAGAAATAACAATTCATTGCACCGCTAAAATCGTCGATCAGTGTGTATTTTGAGCATCATTATCTAGTGCCAAAGCACAGAGTGAAGTCTTAACTCTGTAGCCTTTGGCATTGTCAATTGTTTAAAAGATATCGAAACAGATGCACTAGTATACTTTATTCAAAACTTCATTGATTTAAAATACAGTCAAACTAAGCTATAGTGANTTGATCCTACACTATTTTAAAGATTTTAAATTTTACTATTGGCGATCGAAATGGGCTGCAGGTGGCGTAGTGCAGAACTCTCTACCTATGGCAACACTTCGTATGCTTTCCCCAGTTGCGTGTGGAGAGTCATAGATGAAGGAAGTACGTTAGTTCTTTCTTGATTTTCATATAGATTAAAATCTTTTAAGTTGGAAAACTGTATGGAACTGAAAACTACATTGAACATAGTTCTAAAGAAAAGCATCACGGAAATTTTAAGAAATATTTTTAATAAATAAAAAGGAAAAATATTAATAGAAAAGGGAAAATATCGTAGTACATTCCTATACAACTGAAAAGAGGAGGAGAGGGAAGGGAAAAGGCCAAAGGCATGAAACCGGTCTCTCCCCAGATGGAGTATTCGAGCGTTGCGATTGCCAATTGAGATCCTATTTCAAAAAGTAGAAAGCAGAGAGGATTATGCTCCGGAAAAAAATCCGGATTTCCAGAGTTTTCGCTAACCGCGATCCGGAAGTTTCCGGAAATCCAAGGTCTAGAAATATCAAGAAATCATTGATCTCATTTATGTATAAAAAATTTTCTATGTTTTATTTAAAAATATTAGAACTAGAATTTATACTTTTATTTTTAAATATTTGTAATCTCTCATTTGTAAATATTTTTTCTTTTAGAATAATAACTGTGATTAGACTTAAAAGTAAACTTATACATAATTATTCATTTAAATTGTGCTGCATATAATTTATTTAGAATTTCATGTTTTTAAAGTATCAATGATTTAAATTTATGAAGACTTTAATTTTTTCGACATGCGTCATTAATAATTTTACTCGAGAATTTTTCAGGATTTTTCAGTTGGGCTCACAATTACCCCTGAGAAAAGAATCGGAGTCTTTAATTTTTATTTTTCATAAACTATTCAGCAACTTTCATGACTACTCTGTTGTAAGAGCTCTTTAAAAATAATTTAACAACAGTAAAGATGATTAGTTTGCAACTCGGTGTAAATTGTCAATGCCATCTAGTGTCAGAAATAACAATTCATTGCACCGCTAAAATCGTCGATCAGTGTGTATTTTGAGCATCATTATCTAGTGCCAAAGCACAGAGTGAAGTCTTAACTCTGTAGCCTTTGGCATTGTCAATTGTTTAAAAGATATCGAAACAGATGCACTAGTATACTTTATTCAAAACTTCATTGATTTAAAATACAGTCAAACTAAGCTATAGTGAACCTTCAAAGGATAGAAATTTCGGTTTCTTTATAACCAAGAGCGCGCTACATTTGTACTGCAAACAATTTTAATTCATTTTTCCAAACCCCTCTTCTTTTATTACACATTAATTAAATAAACGACCCATGAAATGAAATACAAAAATGACTGAAAAATGATACGTAGTAACAAAAAATGCGTTAATTTTTATTTTTTTCTTGCTCTTCGTCAAAAATTTTGAGTACAAAAGTAATCTTTAGCCGCTGAGCAATCCTGCAGGTAAGATATGGAAACACTTCCCAACTCTCAGATAATCTTTCCTGAATTTATGTTATTCCGGTTTTTAAACCTGTCTAACCAGACATTCGAGCATATAGAAGTACTCTCACCAAAACGCTTTGCTAATTCATCCCCTTAGACTTGAAGCATTTGTCCAGATTGCGGATTCTTTGAATGCTGAACCAATTCAATTATGCTATTCAATAATGAAGCAAACGAGAAAAATGCTTATTGCTACATTCCATGCTATAGATGGTTTTAAAAATAGGTATATGTATTTATTTTGAAGTAGACATTTCGAAATTATTACCAAAAAAGTGAAGAAAATAAATCAGACGAAAGTTCATAATATCCAACTTCCTCTCTTCTTTTAGTTCACTGTATCCACAAAAAATAATATTATGTGTGTATAGCAAGGCACGCGAGCGAATATTTCATTCACTATATCCGGGAGTTCACTATAAACCATGTTCATTATAGCGGGGTTTGACTGTATAAAGAAGGTGATAAAAGTCTACATATTTCAAGCTCTCAAAAATAGTCGTTCATTCTCAAGACTTGCCAGGCATGAAAAAAGAAGCAAAAGTGATTTGAAGCGTAAAGTTGTAAACAAAAAATAATGCGGAAAAAAACATTCGGAAATAATTGACTTATTTTTTATTCTTTACTTATTTGCATTGATGAGTGTTTGTGTCTTCCAATAGGTATGTTCTATGACATGACGGGGAGCTACGACGCACCTTTTTACATCTCTGGAATACTCATTCTCTTGTCTGGCCTGTTAGGCATACCCTTGCCCTACATCTCCAGGTGGGAAAAGAGGACATTCACTTGAACGCATCACTAAAGTATCTCATTTAGACTGGACAACATATGTGCACTCATAATTAAACTGCATAGTTTTTAAGATACACGAAGTTGATCTCTTGACTAATTTGATCTTAATGATCAAGTAAGGAACTGACATAAACATTTCGTAAACTATTTCTCTATAATTGTTACTGTCCCATACGGTATGGAATTATAGCGAATTCATGATTTCTTGACGTCTTTCTTTTCTATAATTCTGTGTTTTTTTTTCACGGAGGAAAATTAAGTCATCAAGAGTAAATGATGCAGTCAGAAACTTGAATAAACAATGAAATTTTCCCTTTATAAGTTGACCACCTGTCTTAGATGGCCGTCAAATAAATGTAACACAAATGGTCAAGTTACACAAGATTCACAGTATGGAATTATAACAAATTCCTGTTTTGTTGGCGTCTTTCTAAGCTATGATTTTGTTTTACGGGAGAATCATGAGTAATCATGAGTAAATGATCAAGCCAGAAACTGGTATAAATAATCAAATTGTCTCTTTATATGTTGACCGGCAAATTAATGTCCCACGAGTGGTCAACCTACATTTTTACAGTATGGATTCATAACAAATTCATGCTTTGTTGGCATCACTCAAGCAATTCACACCGCCCAGGAAAATCCTGATAAGTGGAATATATTCTCCTGCGGAAATCTCACCAATTAGGATCAATTAGGACCCTTTCTCTGAACAGCAGGTGCGTGAAGCGAATGTCGCTATGTTTTTTGCCATGAATATGTTCTGCTATAAGCATTTGAATGACAAAACGTGGAATCACATGTGTATAATATGCGTTTTTAAAATTGATTATTTTTGCAAAAAAATAATCAAAAAACTGATTAATTTTTGATTTTAACTGATTAAAATTTATTATATTTGCAAAAGAAATTCTTGCTCCAATTCTATTTATTAGCTGCGGCTGCTTCAATTTCACCGAACGAACTGCAATTTTCAATTTATTCAAACCTCTGAGAAGAACTTGCAAATTAAATGAGGTAGAATCAGCATCCCAACTATTACATTTTATATTCTAAATTATGAAAATAAATTTTGAAATTAGTTTTTTTTTTTGTTATCTGATGAAATAATTCATTCATTATAATTAACAGTAAATATTTTCATTAATCCTAATCTTATAAAATTATGGGAAGGCGCCTGTTTTTTTTTTAATTTTAAAGCGTAATCTATCCTTTAATATTGCCAAAGCTTGAAATATTCAATTAAAAAAACAATAGTAAATTCAAAATGATTCTACTAATCACCTCGAAGAACTCTTAGCTTTAAATTTCAATGGCATAATTTTAAAAAAAATTTATCTCAAATATCCGGATGCATTATCAAAATTTTAATCAAAATTTTAATTTTTTAAGAAAGAAAATGCATAAACGTTTCAGCTCATTAGCACTATTGAGCTGAGTTGTCTAATTCGTATCACCAGCTCCCTAAATCCTACCAAATTTGAGTAAAATGACTAAACAAATAAAAAGAAAATAAATAATCCAAAACAAGTGTTTAGTGTTACAATGTAAAATATACTACATTTCCTGAACTGTTACGAGTTCAGTAAATTACATTATAAGTCAAAAAAGTTAATATAAAACATAGCAGTTTATTACTAAGAAGAACTTTTCAGGACTTTTATTTGGAATTAAAATCATGATTCATTGTAAAAACAAACACTTATTGGTGTTTAGTTTAATTATGTTTCAGATGCAACAGACGAAACTTTTTTCAAATTTTTGGAGGCACGTTTCTCATGAACCCAAGTTTCACCCTATCATCAATTGAATGAGCCTCACGACCAAAGCAAACCGACCATGTCAAATCTTCAAGAATGGCTGCCTATTTTTGAGTTCTTGAATCTTATTTCCCTCCTGTATATTTTTGAAGCTAATGAAGTTTTTGAAACCAAGTAATATCTTAACCGCTTCAGTTTCTTGAGATTATTTTATAAGGCACTTTTTGATTCCTTAACACGTATAAACAACGATATGAAGATTTTTGATGTCTCGCCATACTTAATTGTGATTTGTTTCTTCCTCTCTTGCATGTCAATGGGTGACCCAATACATGTGTATGCATTAAGACTGCTCATTGGTCAACTGATTATTTTAATTATTACAAGCTTGTAATAAAACATATTTTTTTTTTCTCAACAAAATGTAAGCTTATAAAGTTTTATGTAAAAATAAAAAATGTGGTTCATTAGTTATTAATTTTTGGTTAATTTCATTGTCTGTACCATTAAATTTTCCTTTTAATGCTTGAATCCACGGAATAACTGAGTTTTGATTGAAACTTGAACCCAGTATCCTCAATACTTCAGTAATAATGGATCTCGGTAACATGTGACTGATGTCACCGAATCAATATATTTTCTTTCAATATTATTACTTTTGCAGTAGAGGCCGGGATAGCCTGGTGGGTAGCGTGTTAATCCCATATCCAAGAGGTCGTGAGTTCGAATCTCGCCGGCCGAAGTATTCTCCTGTGGTAAATGGTAACTGGTGCACGTTAAAGTTGTCGGGTCACAAAGTCCTCCTTATTCCCATAACAAACCAACACCTCTGGGGGTACTGTATTGGAGATCATTCTCTGGTTCAATTCAAAATACGATATCTGTGGATGTATTTATGAACGCCCATTCAAACAGGCTGTGACGATGGAGAAAAAAAATGCACCCTCTGCCTTGGTTTAACTTAGCAGGCTCTCTGGTATTGGCATTAGAGTTGTTCATTGCTTGGGGATATAATAAAACTCTATATCATTAAAGTGTCATAAATACAAAATTAAATAAAATTAAAAAAAGAACTTAACTAAAAAAGATAGAACAATTTTTTTTTGTTTCAAAACATTTAAAATAATATTTTATTTCAAATAAGTGGATACGGAATTGCTCGAAACTCCCCTGGCAGCATAGCTGACAAAGATAGGAGTGTTAGAGCAATACATAATATTTTCCAATGTGTTTTCATTTTATTTTCACCAACAAGCACTTTTCAAGACTTTTTAAAGTACTAAGAAGTTCCCTGCGCACTTCGCTCAACAACCCTCCTATAGTGGCCTCTTGTTCATCGTTGTTTCTTTTTGTTTTGTTTTGTTTTTTCGCTTAAAAGTCGATATTTTTCACAAAAGAGAAAGATCATTTTGGTCAAGAAATATGTAATTATTGAAATAATGTGTAAGAAAAATGTGTTAATATGTTAGTCGTAACAAAACGAATGTATTTGAAAAATACATATTAGGATTAAATGAAGATTGTTGTAGTTAATTTACGTCGCACTAGAACTGCACGATGGGCTATTGGCGACGGTCTGGGAAACATCCCTGAGGATGATCCGAAGACATGCCATCACAATTTTGATCCTCAGCAGACGGGATGGCACCCCTGCTTCGGTAGCCCGACGACCTGCACGCGAAGTCGAAGTACGGTAGAACAGTTTAACGAGGACCAATACCGCACACCCTCGGTCCCTACGCAGATTGATCCAAGTGGTCACCCACCCGCACACTGACCGTAGCCAGTGATGCTTGACTATGGTGATCTGCTGGGAACCGTGTCTTAACGATCAGTCCACTGCGGGACGGATTAAATGAAGAAGTACACTATCTGAACGGTTCGCTTTTTTCGTTCCAGTAATTCGAAAACGTTTTTTCTTTCAGCATTTGAAGTTTTATCTGAGCTCACATTTCAATTCACTCCCCAAGCCAACAATTTTGATTGTTTTCCATTGATGAACTGACATATTCATGATGGTAACCATCATCTGAATGTAGGAATGATTTATGATGGTCCAACATAAGAATAGCAATTTGTTTGTTCATCTTGAATCATCACGAATTTCCATCCTAGAATCTTAAAAATGACGATCATGAACCTCAGTCATCCCAACGTAGGAATTCGGAAATATATTTTTCCCACTCTAGTATACCCTGATTTCGACAAAAGTATTTTTTTATTCCAACTGTATATTAACCGTGTGTGTGTGGAGTGAGAAAAAAAAGGGGGAATGGGTGTTCTCGGTCGTTGGAGCCCTGATCTGCCCAGTATGCATGGATGTAGAATTGAGTTGGCCAACTGGCATTGAAGGGAGATCCCAGAATGGATTTCTTGGTTTCTTGCAGCACGCAAGGCTTCTCGGGATTATGGGGTGTGAACAGGTTGTAAGTGATGTTCTCGCAGTCCTCGGGTACGTTGGTGGCCACACGCATTCAGGGCCGGCCCCAGGGCAGGACGGAGCGCAATGATCTAGGGGCGCCAAAATGATAGTTGACAAGATTGAGAGGCGGCAGGCGGAATTTATCATTTTTACTTCTAAGCGCATAATTCAAATAATATAATATATTTAAACATTAAGGCAAAACCTAGTTGAATTCAATTCAACATGACAAAACCACGCCTTTCAAGAATTGATTGTATTTCATATAATATTTTTGGTCTAAACAATATTTTGGTCTAAATAATACTTTGGTTTATATAATATTTCGGTCTTTTTGTATAATATTTTTGGTCTAAAAGACATGCCCAGAAATGAGCTACTGGCTCATTGCAAAGATTTGGAAATAGTTTTAACTGATGGAAATTCAAGCGATCTTAACGCCCTGGAACAAGCCGATGAAATAAGCATTGTTTCGTCATTATTAACAAAAAAGGAAACCCCTGTTGAAGTTCTCAAGTTTATCGCTACACTTAAATTCGCACCAAACCTCAACATAGCATTAAGAATCCTACTTACATTGCCAGTCACTGTGGCTTCAGGGGAAAGAGGCTTTTCAAATGAAAAATTATCTCAGAACGATGCGGACGCAAAATCGTCTCAATGGATAGGCAATGATAGGCTATAGAACACCAAATTAGTGACAAATTAGACTTGAAATCACTGGTTCGTGAATTTGACGAAAGAAAAGTTAGAAAAAGTGCATTTTAATTACTTTGGTTAGTTAGAATTTATTTATAATATGGGATATTAGTTTAGTTAGCATTACTACACTTTAATCTTTGT